ATTTGTTTAGCGAATTGAGAATTGATTTGTCCAAATGTGGCAGGTGAATCAATTTGTCCTTTCAAAACCCGATTTGGCCGGTCATCTAGCGAATTTTGAAGGACATTGTCCTTTGACCGGCCGTTATTTTGAGACCTGACTATTGTGTTTTGAAGTATATTTCTCATGTGCATTATACATGATATGCACTCACATGATCTCCTMCATCGATCATTAATACATAGCGTTTTAAAACAATAGAATGTTTAGATGTAACGGCATAATGAAATAGGGCAATCTATTTGGGAATATTTCAGATGTAAATGCAAGGTGCAAGGAGTTTGATAATGGTACAGCCCTTCACATTGCTGCAAGTAACCTTGGCATTGATGCTGTAAAGTGTCTGGTGAGCTATTACTGTACTGCCTAGGAGAGGACTCTGCCCTCTCACCTCCCCTACAGCTGCTACACAGTGATTTTCAGTAACTATAAATCTACTGGAGCATAACAACAGCTCTTATGCTATTTGCAGTGAGCTTTCTTCGTCAGATCAATCTTCTGTTCCACCTTCACCAATCCTATCTAGGACTTCTTAGGTTACTTGTCCAGAGTGTGATGGCCTCATGGACTATTAATTTTTAGTATAAACATATTAATGGTCACTCATACTGCGCTGTGATTGGCTACTCTACTAATGGTCTATCACTCATACTGCGCTGTGATTGGCTACTCTACTAATGGTCTAATTTGTGATAGACCACTCGCGGGAAAATCAAAATCAATAAATTATAAATTGTTTTAAGGATATTTCAATTTGTTTTCATTATTTGACCGATTAGTATGTTTATACTAAAACAATTAGACCTCTCGGCCTCGTGGAATACAAGCTAATAGCTAATTCGGCCTCACGGACTCGGCCTCATGGGCTATTAGCTCGTAGTCCACTCGACCTCGAGGTCTAATTTATAAATAGTTCACGGGACCATGGTCCACGTTTTTAGTGGACCATTTAGCGCCACGTGCTTATTACTACATGYATGACTGTATAGATTTCAGTATATTGTCCTCTCTTCCAGCTGAATCACGGATCTGATATCAGCATACGAGACAAGTTGGGAAGATTAGCTTTGGACTGCGTGCCCAATGGTGAGTGAATGTAGGAGGAAAGCCCTAAAAGACCAAGAAATAAGGAAAAAACACTAAAACTCTTGGTATACTGCTTAAATGCGATGCAATCTACACTTTATTATTGAAAGAATGGTCTTTCAAAACATATTCTCGTATTGTCAGAATATTAAAACTTTGAATGAGATCTTGAATTAAAAAGTACTTAAAAACTACTGGAAGTTTGTGATGAAATATTGGCATTAACCCGGTGTCTTGCACATTTTGCGTTGATATATAAGTGAATGGACTTTATAGCAGTGTTTTTTTTTTTTGTTTTTTTTTTTTTCGCCACTTTCTTGTATGGTCACCTTATGAGACCTCAAAATATACTCAATGACGTCAATATTTCATATTACAATAGAAAATTTGCATGATGGCGTCATATGCTATAAACACCAGAATGCTTTGCCAACTTTCTATTGTAATGTCATTTATCCCAATTATTTTACCAATCCACAAAGGGATTTGAAAAAATCTGAATCAAACCATGAAAATGCGCAAAACTTTCTGGTAGTTGTACTAAGGTTTTAAAGCCATAATGCGCATGTCCTATATAAGCAATGTTTAGAGATTTTCTCAGTATATAGAACGAGGCATGATGGGAGTTAAAGTCCACGCACGTTTTATAAGCAGTCTCCTTAAAAGCAGTTTTTTTTAAGTTTTCTTAAAAAGAAAGTGACGGCACAAGTTTTTCTATTTCTGTAAAAAAAAAGAAAATAATAACTCAGGGGGACTGTTACAACTCCCATCATGCTTTGCTACACACAGTGGCGTCGCTGGACATTGTTTATTGATTTTCTTGTAATGATGATTCATGTTGTTTTTCTTTGATATTAATGAAGTCGCTGTGTATGAAGTAGAATCTGAGTCCGCAATCTCAGCATCCACACTGATGCAGCTGCTAACTGAGGCTGAACCCCCCGCAAAGTCACCTCGTGAACAACAGGTACACTGTACTGTACAGACATTTTGATTTAAAGACAATTTCACGTATCTTCGTACTTTCTTCATTAGCTCAATGTTTGATTCATAAGATGGCTTCTGTTTCACATCAGGGTTAAGTTGCACGTTACGCGACGGTTAAAGTTTGGTTTCGTTGGCGACCGGTTAAAGTTTTCCCTCCTTAGTTTTTGTATGGACTTTTTGTCCGCTAAATAACGAATTATCCTATCATGAGCCTTCGTTCAACCATGTCCCTCTACTAACTTTGGTCACATGCAAGAGGTCTATTTAACAATTAGCCCTCGAGGTCGAGTGGACTACGAGCTAATAGCCCATGAGGCCRAGTCCGCGAGGCCGAATGGGTTATTAGCTCGTAGTCCACGAGGCCGAGAGGTCTAATTGTTTTAGTATAAACATACTAATCGGTCAAATAATGAAAACAAATTGAAATATCCTTAAAATAATTTATTAATGAGATGCCGCCATTTTGATTTTCCCGCGAGTGGTCTATCACAAATTAGACCATTAGTAGAGTAGCCAATCACAGCGCAGTATGAGTGATAGACCATTAGTAGAGTAGCCAATCACAGCGCAGTATGAGTGATAGACCATTAGTATGTTTATACTAATAGCGAATAGACTTTGTGTACCATGAACCACTCGGCGCACTCSCTTCACAAGTTATCACACGTTTTAATSTCGCTATATTTTGTGTTGTTTAATTACAGAATTCAGACATAGCAGCATCTTTAGCAGCGTTGGGAATCCAACTAGGAGACAGAGTTTTAGTTGGTGGAACAAAGGTTTGTATATTCTTCTATTGATTACAGTGAAATTCCGCGCCTTAAAGGGACACTGTCAATGGATAACATGCGAGGTAACAGTCTCACCTCTAACGGACTTTGAAAGTATTACCTTCGAGGTAAATCATTTTGTGGTGCTTTTGACACACTTTGGAATATTCTAGACCTGTTTACGTTTACGAGCTGATTTATATCGCGTCAACTTGGAGTCATAAACTTGAAAACACTAGCCTAATGTTTTCAAGTTTACTCGCGCATGCGTGCCATTGACAGTGTCCCTTTAAGTCCACTCTGTTATAACGACCATATTTATATCCGGCGAATTAAATCCTCAGATATTTCCGTTCGATGAAAGCGGTGTCCCCTGATTCGGCCGCTTTTCGATGTCCCATCGGTAGACGGAATAAGGAGGTTCCGCTGTACATTATAAAATATCTTATTATCTATTTCAAAAAAGGTTGTCGGATAAAATGGCGAATGTAAATTGTCAAACGAAGATTGCACGACAAAAAGTAGCCATGGGTTTKGMTAATTTTTGAGAAATAACAGCTGATTTGTACTGTTTGTACTGGCTCTATTTAGTCTCCATTTTCATGAAAGATTAATCCAATAAGAGAAATTTTGTTTGTCAAAAAAGTGTAACCATAGTCCTTTTCGGTCGTGCAATCTCCCTTCGACAATCGCCGACAAAGTTTTTTGAAATGGGTATATATATTGTACAGTATGATGATTTACTTCGCTAGGATCTTTAATTCTGACCGTTGTAACGGGGTGGCGCTATTAAACGGGTTGGGCTCCATTGATTTTGACTCGGCAGTCATGCAGTCCCTTTTAATTTCCAGCAAGATTCCAAATTTGTTTTCTGCCTGATGTTTCTGTCTCAAATATAATGTTCTATCTGTGTAGGATGGTATATTACGTTATTGTGGATTGACCGAGTTTGCCTCAGGGGAGTGGGCAGGGGTAGAGTTGCACGAACCAGTTGGCAAGAATGATGGGTCTGTTTCAGGGGTGGAGTACTTCCATTGCCAACCAAATCATGGTAAATACTTAACTTGTTATATCAGTTTTGTTCTGTTAGAGCATTATATAATTTAAGGGGCAGTACGTTACTCACCCCACCCCCTATTGATCAATCAACTATGTAGAGGACGAGAAGCAATTTCCTCTGCACAGTCCATTGTATTCAAACCTAAGAGAGAAAAATGTTCTTGAACTCAGGAAAAAAAGCACTAATTTTATTAGTATTACATGTAATGAAAACGATTTGTGTCTGCTACTGATGAATCCACCAAAACCATCACAAGTGGTAAGTAACTGCTTTGAAAAGCGTCTAGAAAGCAAAGAAAACAAATAGAATCACCGTTATCATAGTAATTATTTAGGTGATGACAATGTACCTCCAGTCGGTACAAAGCACCAAATAAAATCTTTAAATCTAGCCAACTTTAGATATTTTGGTTCGATTACTATGTACAAAAGAACCCACACGATGAAAACAATGGATAATCTTGGTTTATTTTTTTTTTATTTCCCCGGAGCCTCGTCTGCAATTCTTTTGTGCATGGTCACTGAACCAAAATATCTAAAGTCGGCTAATTAAAGTCTTTTTTTTTTTTAATTAAAGTATGCTAAGCACAATTGCCTACACCTAACTATAATCGAGTGAGCAAAGAAATACGAACTCCCCCCCCCCCTAAATTATCTAATGGTCCATCCTTATTTATCCTGCGCATGCGTCTTATCTCTCTTACAGGTATATTTGCTCCAATATCGAAGATTTCTAAAGACGAGTGCCCTCCAGGCTCCCGGTCGAGKTCTCTTCCAGTATCGACCGCGCGTATTCCYCAGGTTCATCAGCCAAATGGTACGTCATTACCAGGATCAAAGACAACATCTCGAACTACGTCACGTTCAACGTCACCTTCGTCTCAACATGATGTTGACGAAGCTGAGATTGCTGGGAAGTTTGAGGTAACTGGTGGCTTACACAAGTCTTTCTCTTCATGTCCGTGTTCCTTTTTGCCTTCAACTTAATTGTGTTCTTCAGGAGTATAGCCTATTATTAAAATTCCATTACAGGTTGGAAAAGGGTCGTTCCTAGACGAGAAAACAATAGAATAAACAATCAATTTTAAGCCAATATCAAGGGCTTCAGAATTTGGGAAGTGATCTCTCCCCTCGCAGCTCCTTTCTCGCCCTCAACTTTCATGACTTTCAAGTGCATAGCGAGGGACACAGACCCCCTACTATGCTTGCTACTGGTGTGACAGTCATTATTTTACCATCCTCTTTTCTTCTGTCACGCTTAAAAAGCCGGCTGCGTTACATCCGGTTTTATTTGCCAAATAAAACTGGATGTAACGCAGGCTACGCTTTGATTTGATGCGTGATTTTGTCGTTATTTTCATTATCGCGCCAGCTGTTATCTTATACATATAATATGCCTAATAACTAATCACGGCGTAATCGTGAATTTCGAATAATTTGTCAGTGAATATCCAGGGAACAAAAGCACGCATCGCTTAATGGAATAGTTCCGAAAACTTGCTTTTTGCTGATGATTTTGCGTTTCCTTCTTTGAAATATTGTTTGAAAGCTTCCATGTGTTATGTTTTTGCCGGTGTATGAATTTTTTGAAATAACACTCATCTTTTGCTTTCGCTTTTGAAATATTGAATGAAATATTTTGAAACATTTGTTGTTTTGAGCACACTGGGTATCCCATAGTTCCCTACTGATTCAACACTGAAATACCGTCCTGTCTTTTTACTTTCCTTTGATGTATGTAAAGTTAGATTTCTATTAATGGTTTGCTATTCCTTGTAGTTGGGAGATCGTGTTGTTGTGGCAGGACAAAAAACAGGTCACGTTCAATACATCGGACAAACACAGTTCGCGCCTGGGTAAGTTTATTGCTAATTTGTAACTTTTTCCAT